GACAGAGAATTGCTTTCTTTTGTGTGTTGCCTATTCTGAAAGAAACCGTTGGTCTCTAGCGGTTTCCAACTCTATAAGGAAAAGCCTACAAAATGCCTGTGCTGGATCAGATATGCAATGGTTTTGTATACAGATAACTTGTTTTTCATACAAATGTCACATTGATTAGATGATTAATTTGTGCTTACAAATGCATAATATATTTTATATTTATACTATACTAAAGATAAACGGTTGTATTTCTAATACGCTGAAGAAAGATAGAGGTCAAGTTTAGAGAACCTCCAAAGTGCAAGACACTTTCTAAAAGTAGAAGATTGATTCTATCAGCAGCATATAAACAGTACAACAACAGTTCAGAAAAGTAGTGTCTATAGGGATGAGACAAATAAAATGTACAGGCCAAAACATATTGCTTCTCTATGCTTAGGGGGAAATCCTAACCTTATTGAAGACAATGCAGACATTCATATAATGTGAGTCTACTGCAGCCATTTGTTCTTAATCTTAAAAACCAAAAATCCCGGGAAAACCAAGTATAGAGATGACTGAGCAAGTGATTAGTTTGAAATCACTTTTGCTGGTGTTAAACCAGGTATAAAATGGATTAAACCTAACCAATATTGCTTCAGGTAGCTGTTCAGTACTATCTCTAATCATTATGCTGTAGGAACACAAGATTTGTCACACCAGATCAAATTGTTATTTTGCTACAGTAATGCAGTATTCTTTATAGTTGTTTACATCTGTACAAAGGGTTTGAACAGAAGACCTTATGGCCCCTTTCATCCCTGGCACTAAATTGCTTCAAAACCTGTAATGTACCTAGCCAATTATATAATCATGTATTTTCTTAATACCCTCAGGCCTGCTTTTGTCTTTAAGCATGAGATTTGATTATCTTCATTATCTCTCCTTGTACAGCTACAAATGTTGTTGCTAGCCACAAACTAGCAGCGTATATTTGAGTTAATCAACTAGTATGGCAGTGAATTGTGCTGAGAATTAGCTAAAATACCGTATTCCAAATTCAGGAACATTTCCTGACAGTGTATTTAAGATATTTATTATATAGTTTGGATATGACAAGTGGCAGTGGATAATCATACACTCAGTGGTTATCAAGGTGCCTGTGGCAGGCTGAGGTAGCAATTACATAGGTAATTAATTTGCACCTTGGTGAGAGAACAGTATGTCATTGAGCTAAGTTGGACAAAACTATGATGTAAAGGAGGAACTTAAAAAATCTGAAAGGATTGGAAAGATTTTAAAAGATAGCATATTTAAAATGGCGTCTTCTAAAGCATCATAAGCATTACCAGGGTGATCATAAAATCTGTAATATTTATTTAAGTAAAAAACCTTTCTCATGTAGTTTGAACACTATCACTACAAGCAACATATGATGTTATTGTTGAATACCAGCTTGATACAATAGTAAATCCAATTTCCATATTTGATTGTTACATAATGTTTAATATAATTTGAGACTGAGGAGAATAAAATATACATCTAAATTAATTTTGTATTATTAAGTTAAACAGCAATGAAAGGATTAACTGTACATGTCCCAATAAACCCTGTAGACTTTCAGAGGGTACTGATTACCCATTCAAGTATCATATACAAAACATACAGGGGGGCCTATAAATATGTCCATCTCCTTAGCTACATTATCTCAGTACCAATTTAGGTATTTAGAGATGTGTTCTGCACAACGAATCCATCCTGTTGTCTTTCTTATATATACACATAAACTGAAAATGTTTTTTGTTCTCAAGTTAATGAGATCATTTTTTAAATTCTCACAGATGAGAACAAAGCTTTTGGTTCAACACATAGTATGCATCAAGGAAAAGATTTTATAAAATCTTTTTGCAAATCCAAACATACGTAATAAAACCTTCCGATGAAAGACTTTTAACGTACTGCTATTCTTATAAATTCAACAGGATTTTTTTCTTTTTAGAATGTTTTATGATTCACTATTGTTATAGTTGCTTAGGCTAGATACAGACATTCAAAAAGCACTAGGTGAAATCAATCCAAGTTGCACGATTTTCTGTAAGTGGCGTAGTTTAGATCAGTAGCGAACAGAACACACATTTGCCCTTTGGTGAGAGGAGGTAGGAAGGGGAATGCAAATCCTAAACTGGATTCTACTATTTTTAAACCAGTCTACGTTTGCCAAACTTCTGTTCTGTTATGGGTATAGACCAATTTCCAATCACTTATACCATTAAAAGTGTAATGTTCTGTACGTGGCCTTAGGCAACATGTTCTATATAAAGATGATGACAAAGGTGCGGCTCTTTATTTACAAGTGCCTGAGGGAATCTTTAGGGATATTTACGGTAACAAGAGGCTTTGAAAATAGTGTCCTATGGTGACCATGACAAACAAATCAGTGCAAGAGAGTCTGTGCCATCTCAGATCAATTTAACATGTCGTGTCTTGTTTTGTCACTTCAGGGTGGAAAAGAAATGGACTATAGTTGTTCATGAATTTTCTTCCATCCAACAGAAATAATATAAATGTTCAGATAGAGCAAGAAATCAATGCTTCTAATTTAAATTAAAACACTTATCTTTGCATATGAACATAAGTATCCGTTCCAGGCATTTTCTAAGTAAAGTTGTAGGACTGTAGGCAGAATATTTGCACTGACATAGACGTGAACTGTTAACTATAATGAAATATCGGCAATAGAATGCATAGTAGTTGATATCAAATCATGTGTATATATATGATCATTTATTTAAAAAGAAAAAAATAGAATAAAACCTAGTCAGGTACTGTCAAATTCAGGGGTGTAATAGTCTTACTAGCTTGTACTGACCAATATGGCATGCATATTAAATAGAAGCTTTAATTTAAGAGAAAAAAAAGTAAAATATATCACACTTCTAATTTCTTTTGGTCTGTCTCTCTAAAGAAAAGCTTATAAAGCCAGATATATACCCTACAATATTGAGCCCTTAACCCGAAATCTCAAAATGAGCATCATAGTAGCTGAAAAGGGCTATTTGGAGGAACTGAGGGATCTCTTAATTGAATTGTAAGGAAGCTGAAGAATATATTTGCAGGAGCAGCCTGGAAACTGGGTGCCTGGGGTTGTTTGCAATTTTATTAATACAGAGAGTCCCAGGTAAAATTTTAGTATTTCAGACTGAAGAACTACAATTGTAAGGTAGGGTTATGTTTCACACTTTGGTTTAAAGTGATGTCTAGCCAGAACTTCTGTGTGAACTTGCATGAACCAAAATCATGATGTATGTTAGTGTTCATTCATAGTTCTAATTTTTGGTATAAAGCCTTTAAAGCACTTAGCTTTGTTTTCCACTTTCATGCATCACAGCAAATGCAACTCTTCTACAACTCTTAAAAACACTTTGTGGACTACACATGCACTTTACCAATGCACAGCAAAGCATCACCATCCACATGTGTGCAATTATTGTGCAGTAGCTTAATTTAAAGTGCTGTTTGCTAGTACCAACAGATACAGGTATTAGAAAATGGCACTTTGTGTGTGTGTGTGATATCACATGAATATGGACAGAAGCTATTTTGCACAACTCAGAATAGGGGACTGAGAGTTCCAGGGGGCGCTTTTTTGAAACTGTGTAAAATGTTGAGTGACCTTGCTACCAAAACATTCAGGGTCATCTAAGAATGGTGTGGTTTCCACTATGCTGCATGCCCTATCATTTTGGAATTTCATGGCAGTGAAGTGAAAAGCTTAAGTACTCTTCTTCTGCAAGCGTAAATATTTGTCACTTGAACAAATGGTGAATTGGTATTAGGAATGTTATGGGTTATGATTATGGGGGACAACCTTTTTGGCAGGTGTGCTACAAATTAGCCCCGAGTGTCACTTTGATCCCCTTCCCCTGTCTCATCTCCTACTGTTCTTTCTGCTCCCTGCCCTGTGCCCCCTACCCAGTCTGCTGCTCTGCTTTCTGCTTCCTACCCTGTTGGCTACGTGCCACACATAGAGCCTGCCTGTGCCACTTATGGCCATTTGTGTCACAAGTTGGCCACCTCTGGTCTATGACACTGGTTGCATAATTCTTGTGATAATACACATGTGCACTAGGTGACAGTACATATGTGCACACACATGTAGTCCAAGATGAAAATAACTTCCAACTGTGCCTTTTAAAACACACTGAAACAAGTTCTCTTTTAAAATGGACAAAACAAACGCATACCCATGAGTACAGTAAAGCGGAAATGAATGAAAGAAACTAAATCCCTGCAGGGATATCTGTGATACACTGTGAGAGTTTACAGGATGTAGAGAACTAATATTACAGAAATTGTTTCCTGCAGCTACTGAATTCAGAGAGCTCACAGGGAAAAAAAAGTTTTTAATAGCTGACTGACACTGTCTTAATTGGCCATTTATATCTGATCAAATACAAAGCACATGGTCATGGAAGGTTGCAGGCATTTTGAACATTTTCATATGATAATCTTTCATTAGTTTGTAAGAAGTTTTGTGTTTGTATCAGGAAAACTGTTAGCAATGACTCTCAAAGACAAACATCTGCGTGTTTATCACAGCTGTCAGAACAATCCCCTACCATGCCGTCATTCTGCCTGGTGTAACAGCAATGATAACTCATTAAAAAGCTCAAACCTGTAAATGAACTAAATCTCATTTAACTTCCTGAAATGCTACCACAGTTTTAATTACAGAACACGTGGAAGAAATAGGAAAATATAAAAGCTAACATTTATAACATGAGGATATTTTATTAAAATGTTTCTTTCAGGGAGGGAAAAGAACTACGAAAAACAAAAATGGATCTGAATCTTAATGCGTTATTTCACTTATATGAAGACAGCAAAAAAATAAATGGTTCAGGGATGAAATATCCTTTAAAATAATTTAAGGATAAATATTTTAATTTAAGGTATCACACTTTTGGAGTTATAGCCTTGATATTTGGTTTGAATTAGTGTTGTTATAACTCTTGTAAAATACTTGACAGGTATAAAAGATGGCACAGATACAAAACAAGACATTTGAGTTAGAGCACCGCTGTTATTAATTTGTACCTTGGTAAGTGTCCTTTTTCCATGTGCATTCATGTCTCTTACTGTACTTGCATGTACTCTCTGCGTAAAACTGTCAGGCACAACTAAGAGAGAGACCCAATTATACCCTCATCTTGCTGTTGGTTTGGGACTATACACTGGTGTGCGTGGGAGGGAAGGGAAAAGGAGCATCAGTACTGCTGTGAAAGGGTGAATTTTAGAGAGAATTTTAGAATAGAGAATTTTGTCTTCTGAAATCCTGCACCTTAAAGACTAACTGTCAGGAGCTCATAGGAAGTGTGAACAACCCCACAAGAGTTGGAAGGGAGGGGACAGTGGCCTCTCAGTTCCTCCTGTGCTAGCCATAAGGGCATAGCAGATGCACCAAGAATGCATGCTGTCATGTCATCTACTTTGGCATGCTCTCTGACATGCATCAAATGAGCCAAAATTGTTCCTAGTATTCTGGAAACGCTGTATCCTAGCAGCAGTGTCCTCCTATTTCTTCCTGCAATATTGATTCTGATGGGAAAGGTATGCTAGAGATTTTAATAAGCCAACTCAAATTGCTTGTAATTGTAATAAGATTAAACAAAATTAACAATGAAAATACCCATTAGGTCATTTGACTTATTTTTGTGTTCCTGGGACAGATTTTCTTCAAGTGCTCAGCACACTCCACCCACCTGAAGTCAAGGGAAGCTTTTGTACAGCAACTCTTAAGGAACTCTTAAGGTAAGGTTCAAAATAGTTAAATTCTGAGCACCCAAAATTGGTGGCCTTTAAAAATAAATACTGGCCTGGACATAGCTGCTTTTTCTGCATTTATAGAAGTTAAAAAAAAAAAGAAGACAGCAACACTATGTGATCATCCAGCTTTCACTGGAGCACTTCTGATCTACAGGCCATAATTTGGGGAATGGTATTTCTTAACTTATTCCCAATAACTGTTTGGTTGAGGAGTGTTCCAGGAATCCATAAATAGTTATTCCTTGCACTTTATCAGTAAGTATGGGCTCTGGTGTTTGTAGTATGCAGACAATAACAGCTGTACTCTGAATGTAAACAGCTTTCTCAAAGCCTAGCCAAAATCAGCACCTGGATGTAGAGGAGCTGGCCAAAGCTGAGCCCATCATCCTATTAGTTGAGTACATCCCATGCGTTACCTTTTTGGTTTGGAAGGAAGCAAGAGAGAGTGAGATTGACACGGTTTCTATTTTGAAATATTAGGGACGCATGTGGATAAAACAGAGTTAAAATACGCAGATTTAGACTCTACTTTTTCTCTTTTTGAGAAGAAATTCCACACCTAAAGACTGAAACCTACTTCTAAGAATTGCCTTAAAGGTTTTAGAAGGTGAGAGTAGAGAGCCATTTAAGGGTCTTTCAAGGCAAGAATACAAGTCTATATTAATGCTGTCCTTGACCCTTACAGTCCAACAGGCTGCTGGAATAAATATTTCTCACCAGTTTACCTGGCTGCTGATCTCTCAAATGAGGAAGCAGCAGTTTGAAAACCTTTAACAAATATTCTTTTTTCTCCTCAGAGTTTTATATAATCAGATATGATATGACAACAATAAATTGCAGTGGTAATGTGGAGAAAGCAAATGAGAAGCTAACTTGTATATCCAATGTTCTATTAGTGCAATTGTCCATGAACGTACATAACTGCAGAATTAACAAAATCAAATTAGGACTATTTACTAGAATTCTAACAAATACATACAAGGAACCTAGCTAAACAGTAATGTAAGAAGAGGGTAGTGTGATGTTACTGTTAAGTATTGCAACCTTTTGGGAATATTGCAATTTATCTTTAGAAGAAAGGAGGCGCACAGCAGAAGAATAACTACAGAGGCTGACCACAACTACAAGTAAATGTATAATTAAGTCATCTCTGACACTTGAACTTTAATTAGCCCGAAGCCAATGAGGAAGTACTGATTAAAGATCAATGATATAATACGGTCTCCATTTTGGGTGTATTTCATTTGTGTAATCAATGTATTCTAAGCTGCAAAAAGTGTGATAACAGCAGCTGTTTTAAATCTCCTGTAGTGAAGTCATGGAAATTATGGGGACATAGTAATTGCACAGAGGCTTAATAATGTCTCCTCTCAGATAATGCTTGGGCTGCCTAGCATATTCATATAATTGCTATTAATGAAGGCCATCTGCCTAGTGGCAAGGTAATCATTCCAAAATTTCCATTTGTGCCATCCAATGTTTACAGGCAACAATGTAAAACCACATCACTTATACTAGTAAGGTTGTGACACAAAACAATGCCATTCTTTACAGCTGTATATTGTCATTTAGTGTAATTTCCAATTAAAGTTCCTGTTTCATCATAATGGGGTAGTAACATTAATTGTTCAAGAAACATTATTTTTGTGGTATTTTTTTATTTATAACCCAAGCCATTCCAGTTCCATAACTTTCTAAATGCTGAAGGGAGGAGGTGGATTGTCTTATCAAATTTGGCTAATTTTTCCCTTGCCTCACATCACAGACAACCCTGCCAACTATGGGAGGGGAAAACAAGCCTTTCAATACAGACTAGGGATACTAATCTTTAATCATCAGGTACTGCTGAACAAAGTTAATGCCAACTCCCCAGAGAGAAAAATATAAAGTTTTAGTTGAATTATTACTATTTAATCATTTATTTCTGTGCTGAATATATCATGTCTACAAAGAATCATTAACTCCTTGAGAACTCTAGAAATAAAGGTCAGACAAACCTAGCTGAATTTGTCTTTTATAATTCTATCACAACACACAACTGAGGAAAGGCCAGCAGTTAGATTAAAATTATGTTCTCACTAGAAATTCAATCCTATATTTGCTGAAGTGCATAAGTTTATTAGACAAGGATCTTTGGGTAATACGGTATCTTTTATTAGACCAACTACATAGTTGGTAAAATTGTTCTTTACAAGCTTTTGGGCATAAACACTCTTCTTCAGGCATAAGGAGAATCACTAAACAATAAGATTATTGTTATGGATTTTAGTGTTTACAGAATCATACCTTTTACACTGGTACAACACCACAAAATTCAAGAGTGATGCTCTATTTCAAATGTGAATGTGGCCCAGACCAGGCTTAATTTCTAAAACCCAAATGCTGAAATTGTACATATAACATTCACTGGAACTATTTTTAACACAAAGGTTCTAATTAGCTTTGGTGTAAGCATGTGAAAAATCTCACTGATTTTCAAGATTCCCCCCCCCCACCCCCCCCCACAAAATCTGTCATTTTTTGGTGTGAAAGGAACATCATTTTAACCTATTATTTCTGCTCTCTTTTTAGCTGGTAAATAAGGGTATGAAATGAAAGTGAACAGCTCAACTTCATAACAAGTTTTAATGTCATATGGATTTTTAAAGAGGTTTGTTACTGTTTTATATACACAATTAAAAGAAGGCATTTATGTTTCTATACATTTGTGTATTTTAGGATATTTCAACATGAGATGGCTCTTACCAAATAAGAATGTGTTATTTACCGTTAAAACTTGAAACTATGAAAAGACTGTTTAAAATGTGTGTGTTAAATTGTGTTTTTCTTATTCCTTATTGACCTCCAGGAACAGTAGATATGAAATGGTGAAAAGGGGGAGCAGCAGCAGAGCTCACTGCACACACAAACCAGAGGTGAAGTGGGGTGTGATGGCACCACCACAGCACCTGCCCTGGATATGCCCCTGGTTCTCACTTATTAACAACCTTGCTAAAGGCCCATTGTTGCCACTTTTACTTATGCTGGCAAGTTTACCTTCAATTTTTAGCAGGTAAATGTGGCAAAGGGGACCTTAAATGGGGTTTCATACTAAAATTAAAGTATAGTTCTATGCTGAAAATTGTACTGCTTCATCTATGAATCTTTTCCCTATGTATATTTAAAATTGCATCATCTTTTTGGGGGGGGATTTTGAGTGCATTTGTGAAAATGTTGGCTCTATTGCTATAGAGCCAATTGGATTGTTTTTTCTCACAGAAGAAAAATGTAATTCTGCTACCAGCAACTGGTAAAAAAGCATTTGCACCAGTATAACTGAAGACCAAACTCAAACATTAGTGTTGCTACAGGTGTCAGCTGGGTGCATGTGGCTTTAAAAAAAAAACTATTAAGGTACAGAGAGTTTCTGTTTCGCGGAGCTAACACTTGAAACCATTACACTTCAAACACTTGGGGGGAGGGGGAGATAAATCCCAAATGTTAGAATGCTTATCTGAAACATACAGATAAGGGTTGCATCCAGCACCTTATTGTTATCACTTAGTATAACCTTACCTAATCTGTACCCTAACCTAATCTTAAAATGGCTACCTAACACTTGCAAACACATATATCAAGGTGAAAATAGTATATTTTATTAAGACATTTTAAGCCAGCCAGAGAAAAAGATGATACAATAATATCATTTATACGGAGAAGTACTGATATTATTGTGTTTGAAATTACTAAGACATAAAAATGAGCTATTAACTAAAATAATTCAAATATATTAGCCAGAAATAGTGAAGAACACAGCCTTGTTACACATCCTTTAAAGGGAAGATGAGCACCCCTTACTGAATTCTAACCTAACATATTTTAACATAGATTTTTTTAAAACATATTTTAAATAAATCAAGTTAGTGTGTTGACCCTTCTATGAAACAACATGCTGCTACACTAAATAATTCCATGCAAAACACTTAGAAGCAGCAGATTTGTTTTCTTCTTATACCTACTTCTCCTTATAATAAGTGATTGACAGTAATCCAATCTTGCAAAAATGCTATCAGCTGATGACCAAATGTTTTGGTAGAAACTGTAAAATAACAGAATAATGGATGGATATTTTATTTTTTCTGCCTCATAAACTAATGGCCATACCCCATTCGAATCCATTAGACACCTAAGTGCACTCCTATTCCACCCTGCTCAGTTCCATGAAAATTCATTTATGCATATATTTTGGTAACATCTTGTCTAAGCCTTAAGACTGACTCGCAGGAAAGCATCAAGCATCATGTACTTGAAGAGCTGCTATAAAGAACATGGGAAACACCTATTCTCTCACTAGAGAGAGGAGAATGTGGACCAATGGCTTGAAGTTGCAACTAAATTTAGACTGGATCTCAGGAAAAAACTTAATTGTTAGAATTGGGAGGGAGTGGTACACATTGCCCAGGGAGGTTGTGGACTCTCCATCACTGCAGGTGTTCAGGAAGAGGTTGGACAGCCACTGGTTGGGATGATGTAGGTGTAGCTATGCCCATGTTCTACCATGGATATTTCTGATGATTCTGGGTGCCCCCACCCTGCTTTCTGCTACATGTATTGGGGTATTTTTAAGCCTCCTTCTGAGGTGTTGGCTTCAGCCAAGGCTGAGGATTTTGATTGGGGTGTGCCAATGCTCCTGCTTGGGACCAAAGTTAGAGACTTCTGGCTGGAGGGTCTTGCCTGTTTGCTCAGAGCCAGACCAACTGTCATATTTGGAGCTAGGAAGGAATTTTACCCCACGGTCAGATTGGTACAGACTGTTGTAGTTTTTGCCTTCCTCTATAGCAGGGGGGCATGGCTCTCTACCTGGGATTTTTTCAGCATATATTGACAACATGTCATAGAAGCAGGACATTAGCAGCCATGGTTCCCCTGCTTTACCTGCAGCAGTTTGGGTGTTGTGTCAGGGCTGAGGGTAGCCTTATGTAGATTTTAGATTATGGATTTTATAGGATGGCTTTCTTAGGGATGATCCTGCCTCAGGCAGAGGGACTGGGGTAGATGACCTCTGGAGATCCTTTTCAGTCCTACTTCTCTATTATTCTATGATAAAAGGAAGTGGCAAGGGGTACGAGGACCCATCCAACTTTTGTATTGCTCCACCAAATAAATAGAGTAGGATTTGGCCATCGATGTTTTATACATTCTTTCCAATCCTGCAACATATGATATTGATAACTGTTGTATATTCGTCCGCTTCATGACTATAGGAAGTTGTCAGCCAGACTTTAGTTTAAATAAATTTTAAACCTTATGAGAAAAATGATTCCACTGATGTTGGCTTTTTTTTGAAGGAGGAAATGAGAAGGCGGTATATATTTATTATCTGTTGTTGTTTAATCTCGCAGTAAAATCTTTGTTTCCACAAGAAAGAAAGGTCTTGTTAACCTGTATCAATAGGGATGCTCACCCTTGACCCATGGGCCACATCCAGACCATGGAGCTGTGTCACCCAGCCCACATGGCTCCCCAAGTATCCAGAAATGTGATGGCAGTAGCAACGTTGATTGCCATTCCCCTGCACCCAAATTTTCAGATACATGGGGAACCCCAGGGGCTGAATAACATCACCCTGCATATTAGATTGTCCCAACACACAGTCAGATGGGCTGGCAAGCCCGTGAACCAACTCTGTGTGGGATCCAGCCAAAAGACAATAGCAATACATATGAATGTATTAAATATTAATATGGATTTTTTTCTAAACCTAAATTTAAATATCTTTTTTTTGCGATAAAGTATTTGTGTATTGCTAGAAGAATGAATAAATGATTAGCACAGCACCCTTAAATTCAAATGATCTTGAAGTAGCATTCTGGATGTCTGTCTGTAGCACAAGACTGCATATAAAGCTAGATAAAAAAAGGTTACTGTAATTCCCCCAGGAATTGCACCCCGCCCAGCCCTTCCACCCAGGAGGGTGGGAGCAAGGTACCCACGCATATGGAAACCCCCAACATACCCTATTGTGCCTTGATCCCACCCCTATGGGCTAAAGGGCCTGCCCAGCCTGCATGGGTCTGCTGCTGCTGCAGCCACAGGGACCTGCTCAGCTTCCCCAGTGTTCAGCTTGCTCTGGGCAGTAGGTAGGGAAGTGGCAGGGGCAGAGCTGCAGCTGGGTGGGAGTGCAGATCATGGGGCTGGGGCTGATGGCAGTGCAGAGCTCAGCTGGGCAGGATGTGGGTGTGAAGGAGGGTGTAGGGACACACTGCCTCCTGGCACACAGCTCTTGAAGGCAGTGGCAGCAGCAGGTGGGGGCACTCAGGGCATTCGGGCCCAGTGCAGGCACTGGTGCTTGGCAGTGCGTGGCTCTGGCCAGTGCTGCATATCACGGTGAGGGGTCATCATCCACCAGGCTGTCTCTATTGGTGGCACTCCCCACATGCATGTGCAGGCTCTGCTGGGCCATTTCTATCACCAGCTTCCTGCCACACATGTGCGGCTCCTGCACTCATGCAGCATTGAAAGAAAGCCCTGTGTGCTGGAGCTGGCTGCCTCCCCTGCCACTAGACCTGCAGGGAGCAGTGCAGGCAACCAGCTCCAGCGCATGGGGCTTTCCTCCTATGCTATGCAAGAGTAGGGGCTGCACATGCGTGGTGAGGAGTGCTGGTGATAGAGAAGGCCCAGTAGAGGCTATGCATGTGCACAGGCAGCGCACCGCCAAGAGAGATTGCCCAGTGGAGGTTGCACCCCTTGCCATGATGTGCAGCACTGGCCAGAGGCACGTGCTACCAGACATAGCCACACCCCCTTACAAGTCCCCCCACCCAGCACACCCCCCCTCACCCCACTATGCAAATACACCTCACCACCACTACACAATATATAAGACTAAGAATTCATTTTTGAGTTATTATGCAATCACCTCTATGCATACTACACAAACAGAAATCATGGCAAAAATATTTTTTGTAATAAAATTAAAATATGTTGTAGTAGGTGTTTTAGCTTTTAGTATATGATTTTTTTTTCCTGGTTCTAAATGGCAACCACCCCCTCCCAAAAAAGGAGCATGTCCAAGGGACGAGGGGAGAGACTTGTGGTGGCAAAGGTCAGGTGTTAGTGGGTAGGACTGTCAGTCCCAAGATACTGCCAGGGGGTAGGGCAACTGTCGAGGGGCAGGGCTACCCATGAGGCCTTCAAAAGCTCACCAAAGCTTGTTAACTGGCCCTCCACCTGAAATAACTGTCTGCCTTTGAGTTGCATTGTCACTGGAGGGATCCTTTGATATCAACAGAATTGTTACATTGGTCTGTACCATGAAAGAGTTATGCTAAAGTTTGGTATTTATTCATGGGAACAATAAAAAAGGACATGACTGCTATCCCCACCCTGCTAATTCAACAAGCCTTTACTCCAATGGATAAGAATGCTGATTGTTTTCAACAAAACAGTTGCAAAAGTTTAACATTAGTAAAGCAAGGTATGTCTCATAATATCATTCACAGAAATGAAGAACTATTTTTGCAGAAACTTTCCAAAACTCTTCAACCTGAGGCAGACATCAGAATTTCAGCCCAGCTTCTGTTATGTAACTGTTAAATTTGGGAGAGTGTTAGTAACTGTAATAGGGCACTTTAACTATGGCCAATGCTCTCAGCTCTCTATATAATAAATTAATAGTTTTGTGTTAAACCTAATAAATTTGAAAGCTTCCATCATAACTAGATTTTTACACTGTCTTAATTGACACTACCAAAGAAGCTTTTTAGTTTAATTTCCCTATAAAAGTATTATATTTAAAGAAAAGGAAACGAATGTCACGTTTAAGACAGTAGGCACAATTACTTAACTGCTCATTCAAAGTCAGTCAACTGTTTAGTAAATAAATAATTATAAGTTTCTTAAAGTGAATATTATTTACTTGGTACAATATAATAGCAAACCAGGTTGTCTGCCAAGTATAAGTTATTTTTACAAAATGCCCCATAACAGCCCTCCTGTGCTGTTACAGATTGTCTTGTTGAGGGCTACTTAGATCCCTTCTTAGTTCACTGAACCCATAGCACATTGCAGTCTAAGCCATTTTCCTGCTTCCTAAGCTCTGCACCTATTTTAAAAGCTGTGTTTGCTTCTGTCAAGAATATTTTCTGCAGATGAATATAAATGTGATAGGATTTCATTGGTGGCACTACAGAGATAGCAAAACTCCTCTTTACAACTTGAGTGTCAAGCTGTGCTGTATAAAGAAAATAAATCTCCAGTGATCCTCCGTCAATTACAGAAACATTTAGCTGGTTAAATGAAAGGACTAGTCAGAATATCAGAATCTTACAGTAAATAGTGTTATTTACAGGTTGGAATTGTTCCTTTAAAAACTGGGCCATTTAAACAGAAACCTTTTTCTGGTTTCTACAATTAATATATTCCATAAAATAAACAGACAGTGCTTATTGCTTAAAAATAAATCAAGTTGCCTATTAAACTAATGCCTGTTCCCTTTTTCTCTTCCTTCTAGCCATCAGTCTCATTAAAAAGAAAAGAGTCTCAGTTGATGCATTGCTACTGCCTTGGTACTCAGACGTTCAGTCCTGCTACCACTGAAATAAATGATAGAACTCTCATTGATTTCAGTACTGGAGGATTAGTGCCAGGCATTAAACAGATAACCCAAAAGGAAACAGAATGACTGCATTCTTTTATACTTTCTTGTCTAAGAAATTGCAAAGCAAAAGCAAGTGTTTATAATGTCACTGCTGAAGCAACATCAGAGATATTGTTTGAATATACTGGAGGATAAAGTGGTATTAAAGGCATGAGGATTCCTTTCACTCTTTGTGCAATTCTGTGGCCGGCAGCATCATCTACCATTTACTGCTTGGAAGATTTTGGGGACAGGGAAAATACTTTAGTATGGAAGGCAAAGCTACGTTTCTAGTTTTCAGCACTCCAGCAAGTTGCTACAACTTTCTAATGTGCAACTAGATGCCACTGCTCATGACCAGCATCACTGGTCTTAAACCCTGGAAACATTATGACCTCTAGTCAGCTGTCTCTTGCTGCGGTTCACAATATACTCCTGTATCCCAAGCACCAAAAGCCACAGTCTTCATTTCCCCTTAGATTAGGACTGCTCTAACAAATTACTAAATATCAGTTCCATACCTCTCTGATAGCTGTACAAAACTCGCTCTGCAGTACTTTTTTTAGGGATTGTAGCTTGTGCACCGGTACCTCCCCAGACTCTTGAAGTTTCTCCAGTAATTCAATTGCTCTGGCAACATCTGAGTAGATAAAAATAGGAATAATGGTCAGAAAAGCACATGTTTTTCATGGAAGATAAATTACTAATGTTCCAAAAAAGCAGCACAATAATGAACGTTAGTATTTTAAGTGTAAGGTCAACTTAGCTATACAGAATTTATTCTTTGTTTGTGCTTACAATTAAAGGACAAGATATGGTTCAAGATAATTGTCTGCACTTTAATAATTTACAAAACATATCATTACATTAGCTTTATACATGCACTGACACTGCTGTTAAGAAATTTGACATTATGTGCATATTGATCAGCCTAGTACGTTATTTTTTAAACATAGGTACAAATATAAACAACTGAGGTACCTTAAGAGAGAGGTTACTGCTCTTTTTTGTTCTGAGGAGAGCAACATAAAGTACAGGGGCTTTCTTTCCACAAGTCTGAGTGAGTTAAGGTATATGTAACAGATAATGGATATGGAACATATTAAATATTAATATGGATATTTTTCTAAACCTAAATTTAGATATCTTTTTTTTTTGCAAGAAAGTATTTGTGAATTGCCAGAAGAATGCAACAAATGATTAGCACAGCACCCTTAACTTCAAATGATCTTTGAAGTAGCATTCTGGATGGCTGTCTGTAACATAAGACTGCATTTAAAGCCAGATAAAAAAATGTTACAGTAATTAAGATGCAAGATTATTAGAGTCTAAAAAAGAGTTTAGCTGTGTGCATGGAAAGATTCTTAGAAATGCAGTGCAGAAAGAATCTGCACGATTTAAATGTAAGGTGTAGATGGATGAAAAAAAACAAACCCTAAGGTTGAGATCTGAATCAAAGACAGCCAAGTTACAAGTCTGAGTGATCAGCAGGATGATAATGTTGTCCACAAAGATTAAGAAAAGGGGGTAGTGGGGAGGATCTGGGGGAAGATTAAGAGCTCTATTTTGGCTACGTTGAGCTTGAAATGAAAACTAGTCACCCAGGAGTGAAGACTGAGATCCAAGCTGAGTCAGGTCTGGATCAAAAAATTAATTTGAATTTTCCTGATTTGTCTGTTGTTTACAAATAATATGGTCTAGTCACGAAGAGTAAAGGAAGAAGAGAAAGAGGTGGATTCTTTTGGAACTCCCACAGAAAGCTGGAACCATGATGAGGAATTCTCCAGTGGACATGCTGAATGAATAATTACAGTAAGAGGAGAACCGGAGATGATGAAGTAATGGAAGCCAAAGGAAGACAAGAAGCATATGGTTGACTATGCTGAAAGCAGCTGATAGGCAAATTAGGATGGATGGTTCTTTTTATGTTTATGTTGGACCTGATCCAAATCCCATTAAATTATGTGGAAAACATTCTTATTAAGTTCTGTGGGATCCTGTTTTAGGAAAATGTTTCCATTTTTGGAAGCGCACTTCAGCACCATGCTTAATTAACTTTAAGCATGTGGGTAAGTCTTGTTGAAATCAATGGGATTTAAGCTCATTTTATAGGATCCAGAATCAGTCTTACAATGATGATTAATAGTATTTAGAAGCAGAGCAAGCTTTTGCCTAGTATTGTGGTATTTTGCAAAAAGAAAAACACGGTAGTACAAATGATAAATTAATACTCCTGTTCATACTCTGACATAAATGAGGAGCTGGTGTGTGAATTTCTGGGAAAAACTGGACACTAAGTTATCATTTCATGACAGTGATTTTGCTTAGGAATAAACAAGCTTATGGGTACAGCAAAGAAAATGCTAATAAGCAAAGTATGAGTCTCTCCTCATATTATAACAACAAAATCACCAACAATAATTTTAACAGTAGATGGTGTGAGAAGTGATAGGTGTGACTTTAAATATCTTTTTTACCATAAAAAAATCTTATTTCATTAAGAAATTAAGTATAATAACTATACTGCATGGGTAGATTAAAAAACCTCATAAGAATACTATCTTAATTATCATACCTGATTTTCTTAATTCAGATTGGTAGTTCCAGTTGGGTTTGTGGTCACACAGAATACAGATGCAAATTCAGAAAACAAAACATGATTAATATAATAAATTTTATACTTCAGAAGCAGGAGATGTGGGGTTTTAGCCTCCCACTATGTTGTGACTTAATGTGACATGACTTATCTGGGAGTTGCGCATATTTTTGTGAAATTGAAAAATCTAAAAAATACATCTTTTAAAAAATGAAGCACAAGTAGTTGCTATATAAATCAAACTTGCTATTCCTTTGATACTTTCATCAACCACAGTGGAAGTTGAGACATGACTATCTGGGGTTCTGAGATAATGAAAGTAGCACATTATTTGCCCTGGCCCCAGAACTTGGAAGATATCTCAAGATTAACTTCAAGTATAAAAGTGATACAATTTAATTTGTTTTTGACGCCAAATATTTTTTCCAGAATTGTGGCCAAGTATATATGGTAATAGATAAAAGGGTAAAATATTACCTCACTTTGGTTTGAAACACTACATCTCTTTCAATTAATACCCCTCTATTGTGGGGAGACTTAGTGAATAATTGTTCCAGGCAGAGCCAGGCTGAGAGGTGGGCGATATGGGTGACTGTCCAGGGTGCTGTGGTCTGGGGGGTGCCATACACACCCATCCACATGTGAGCAGCTCACACTTACAGCAGTGCTCTACCCCTGCCCCAGGCAGGAGGAGCAGTGCCCAGTCCAGCCCATCCCCCAGCTCCAGCTGCTGCTCAGGAAGAGCTGGGCCAGACAGTGCAGGTGGCAATAATGATGTCTGCCTGCCCAGCTGCATGATGCACCATACTGATCCGCCTCCCTGCTGGACTGTGCCCCTGCCTATGCTTGCAGCAGCACCACTGACAAGTGCAATAACTGCTTAAGAATAGAGATCATATGTCAATAATAGTTTAAAGGAGTGAGAAAAAGGAATGAAGTGACTAGCAGAGTCACTTGTGAGAAACTAACAAATAATACAAAATCTTTCTCCAGTTGAAGCCAATGACAATCTGTCCAGTGATTTCAATAAAGCCAAGACTACCTTCTTGGAATTCTTTATCTGACCATTATCCTCCTTTTGCTGTGTACAAAGGGATTCGTGTTTTTTTTCTTGTGAAACACTGTCAGATACTGTTTTCTCATATATGCAGGAAAGGTAAATTCACAAATAGTAACAATTAAAAACAAACATTGAAATAGAAAAATTGTCTTTAAAAATCAGTTCAGGGCTATAATTCATCATCTAATATGAAGGAAATCAAACACAGTATTCTCTTTTTAATACTTCTGATGTGCTATTCTTATCTTCTTACCCTTCCATTGTCTTCATTTTCATCATCATGCCCCTGACTCATGCAGTCTTCATTATATTAAAATTTAAGTTCATCCTAATTTGATTGAAATCTATCCTCATTTCACACATCAATCTCCCACTGAGATCAATGAAAATTTTGTGAGAGATTTGAGAAGGGAGAGGGAGCATAGATATAGTGTTTCAATTTTTTATATTGCTTCCACAATAAAAAGAGCATCCTTCCTGTCCCTCCCTTACCCCTCCCTGCCAATGTAATGCTAACTGTATCTTTTAATTTTAACCAACATTTATGTATAATTCTCTCTTGTATTTACACAATAATCTCCCCTCTTCTCTGTTCTAACATTCTCTTCCCCCTTTCCACCTTTGTCATCAGTTCACTTCCATGTAGCACTTCAGGAAATAATGTTACAGCATGGTGTCATGTTATCAGTGAAACACAGAGACAAAGAACTATGAATGGAATATATTTTATCAAGTGTGTGCATCAAAAAGGAACCTTTGCTTTCAGAAAAAATCTTATTGGAAGAGATCTCTTGATACTTTTATTTGAATGCAGTTTCATTTGCATTCCTGGGGTGGGAAAGGTGAGGACATAGGAATTATATTAAGTTATTATACACAGCTAAAGAAAGAGAGAAAAATCACTAGAAGAACATAAAGCTAGCTAGATTTCATACTGTGATAAAAACTAGAACATTACAATTGAACATCAAATGGAGTCCAGTCATGTAGATGTGGCCCCATAGCACAATACAATTAGAAGGCAGGTGAACTTGCTTGTTTATCACTTTGTTCTTCAGTCTCTATGTTTAATCTCATTTCTTTCATGTTACATATAATTTTCCCTTGCTACCTTTTTGTTCAAAACTACTGTTACATACAATAGAGAGAGATTTACTTGACTTAATTTGTTGGATATTTTACAAAGAATTTTATTTGAAGTACCTTGCATTTCAGATAGTGTAACCCAAAAGCAACAAATTGATTCAAATTCTATCATCTGAAATAAGAGTCATAAATACTTTAAGACTGGAAGTCATGTCACAGTTCCAGTAACTGCTGGTAGGGTAAATTCTAGTTTTCAGTGGGGCTGTCTGTGGTATGGTTTTATTGATGGTAAATTAAGGCAAGGTTTGTAGGTTCTAATGCTAACTCAGAAAATCAGTTGAATTCAGTAGCAGTTCACATAAATGCCAGAATATTTCATTTTAGTATTCTGAATCTTTTGCATTTAGTTTGAGTAAAGGTTTCATAAAGGTTCTGCAATACAAAATATCAGTTATTCTTGGAATAGAAGATACTTAGATGCACTACATACTCCTTCAAAATGTACTACAT